AAATCTTGTTTTAAAACACCTAATTCTCCAGACCCACCTAACATGCCAAGACAGAGGAGTGTTCCTCACTCAATTTAGAATCTACACTGAAACTTATCTGAATGAACTTGACCCTGGCTGGCAGCAAGCCAGTAACCTTCCTCACTGAAGACTTAACAGAACTCTGTGTTCTTGGCACAAAGCACAAAGAAAGGTGTTGAAATCCACGCTAAAAATAATCTCAGCTCACATTTTAATCGGTTTTCAAATATGATGATAAAAGATACTTAAATATGATGAGGGCTTTTCAGTGTTTGGTACATTTTAAATTCAGATAATTTTTAAGCCCTACTCCATTTGGTTCACTTTCAACACTTCCTCTGGGCCCCTCCCAGAACACTGTGAATCCCCACTCTGGCCCTCCTCTGTGCCTCCTCCTCTAATGATTTACCTGGAAAATTCCAATGCACCCTGCACTGGCAATGGTAGGAGGGACAGCAAGTAAAGCCAGAAACAATGCATTGACTCACTTCCGCAGAAAGCCCTGGAGAAAAATGTGGGCCACGGTTCAGCCATCTTATGCGACGCTGTCAGAACAGGTAAGAGGTACTAAAGTTATGTCATTCCCATACAGGTTACGTTAACTCATCCACAAAGGTAAGATGCAAATGAGAAGGCAAGGAACACACAATGTGGCAGCGAGTCTATATACTTTCTTTCAGAAAAAACACTAGTCTTCCTTTAGTTTTTGCCATCCTCCTTTTCTCCTACTCCAAAAATGCCATCCTTGGTCTAACATTAGGATAGTTTAATCTCACCGTGAACTACAGCAGTTCACAATCACCTCCTAATATGGGGGAAACCCACACAAGTCCTAGAATGCTCAGAGTGAACAAGATTCAAACCACAAACATTCAGCAGTCTACACTGGCAGAAGTCAACAATGAAATGACAGATGTTTATCCACCCTTAAACCCTTTAGCTTTTAGTCTTAATTATTTACTACTTTTATAGATCTCTCATCTTACAGCAGCACATATCCCATGTCTAAGTCAAAGCAAACAAGCATATAAAGTCTTTAACTCTGATGCTGATATTTTTATGGCCTAGACTCCAGATAAAAACAGAATTACATAGTCAAATGATTTTTCTCAACATAGTAAAATGTTAAAGAATACTGAACACTTACTGTCTTAAAATTATAATGTATTTTAAACCTTACTTTTTCAAAATTATAACATAATCATTTGTTCATAATTATTTTAAATTATGTTTAAAGTAAGTTGTAGTTAATACTAACCCAGGAAGTCAAAGAAAAAGAATTTAAATATGCATGGTTTACCTTCAAATAAACGCTTCTTTTTTCAACCAAATATGACTGACTCAGATGAATGTTAAAACTAATCTAAATATCTTGATTCTAACTGATAACTAAGTATACATGGACCAAAAATGCATCTAGAAGTAGGCCTAGGCTTAAAATTTTGCTATAATTAAAAAGTCAATTCTACTCTGTATTTCTATGATATGACCAGGTAACCAACAAATTAAAACACATTAGTTAACTTTATATAAAATCACCATTTATATTATACATTTGCTATAAGGATAGATACTCTCTTATGGCATTCCACCATGTTATACAGAAGCACTTCAACAACTTAGACAGCCTTGGCATAAGAATTATAAAATTTCTATGCAAAGACCTTCTGATAATCCTTCAGAAACTATTCCATCTACACAGAATGATAGAGAAATGAACCTCCCTGCTTGTGTGTGTGTGTGTGTGTGCATGCGTGCACACACACGTCTACATCTATACCTATCTATGAGGGCAGTGCTTAGAAAATATACATGAATATAAAAAGATGATTACAACCTCAATTAAAAGAAGAAAGTTTTAAATGGCAGGATTTTTTTTTAAACTTCCTGCTTTGATAAAACTTTAGACATACAGGAGAGTTACAAAGATAACATAGAGTTTCTATGTAGTCTTCACCCAGCTTCCCCGAAGGTTAACATCTTATATAACCATGCTACAATTAGGAACATAAAAGTTAACACTGGTACCATCCTATTAATTAAGCTACAGGCTTTAACCAGAGTCCCCCAGTCTTTCTGTTTCAGGGTCCAATCCGGGATCGCACACAGCACTTAGCTGTCACGTCTCCCAATTCTCCTCGCATCTGTGGTGGTTCTTCTCTCCTTGTCTTCAAACTTGGCACCTTAGCGAAGTATTGTTCAGCTATTTTGTAGAATGTCAATCAACTTGGATTTGCATAATATTTTCTCATGATTAGACAGAAGTCAGGAACTTTGTGGTGGTGTGCCCTCAGTTCATTACATCACAGAGTACATAATATCAATGTCAGTAACACTGATCACTTGGTTAAGGGGGTGCCTGCCAGGGTTCAACATGTAAAGTACTATTTTCCCCTGTGTAATTAAGAAATATCTGGGGGGAAATATTTTAAAGTCATACAAATTTATCCTGTTTCTCATAAAGTTTGCCCACTGATTTTAACATTCCCTGATGGATCTTACCCTCAGCAATTATTATTGTTCTGGTCTAAAGATGACTTCCTATTTCCCTCATTCCTTCTACATTTGTTGAAATTCTTTTCTAAGTTGTTCTTTCTCTACTCTTTATTTATTTATATATTTATTTACTCGATCATGTATCTGTATCAGTATGGACTCAGGGATATTTATTTTATTCTTTGGGTTATAATTCAATATTATCATTCCTTACCTCACTGCTCCAATTGTTCCAGCTTTAGCCACAGAGTGAATATGTCCTTTGGACATTCCTCCCAACACTCTTTTTTGAATACTTTCTTATTTTCTGACAACCAAAGATGCCCCAGGCTCACCTTATGTTTTCTCTGCCCTGGCCACAGATTCAGCCACTTTTTCTAAAGAGTCCTGATTCCTTTTATTGGAGTGTGGTATTGAAAACCATGACCTGGGCCGCGAGGTTTACTTGTTGCTCACTGCTTCTGGGCCCCCTCAGTGGAAGAGACAGGAAATTACACACACTCACACTCACACACACACACACACACACACACACACACACTTCTATACTTCTTTCTTGCATCTATCTACCTATCTATATATACTTTTTTTTTAAAAGAAAGCACATAAGTTCAAACTGATACACTCAACTCCAATACGGAGCCATGGAGTTCATGTCAGCATTTCCCACTGCTTATTTGTAACTTCACTCTCCCCCAGCTCTCAGTATCTACAATATGAGTTATATTGACTTATGTGCTCAACAACAGTACACATGCAAAGTATTTTCAAAAGTGCGAAGTCATAGCTGTGAGAAACAGACTAGAGTACAATGTATGTATCCAGTTCTTTTTGTTTTTAGCCTTAGGGTATTCAGCCAAAGTTACTTAGATCAGTACCCTCTTCCTTAAACCCTTGAGTGAAGTTACATAATTCACCACAGTCTGCATTCTGTCTTGGGTTCCCCTGACACCTGATTTATTTATTTAAATGTGCAGAGTAAAATTCGTTTTGGGGTTCACAGTTCTATAGGTTGTAACAAATGCCGAGTTGTGTATGTATTGCCACAGTACAGGAAGGACAGCTCCCTCACCTTGAAAACTCAGGTTTCTCCTTTGTAGTCAATCCCTTACCCCAATCTCCTCAACCACCGATTTGTTTCCATCATGAGAGATTTGTAACATACTTGGTTCTAACTTCATTAATTCCCTGATTCAGTCAACATTTGGTGAAGATTTACCACATGCCAATCTCTGAGCTAGGTATCAAGAATGATAAATCAAATCTCAGACTAATGAAGGCATTCTCAGTCTCTTCTTGAATACGAGAAAATCCAACTCTCAGATACCTGGAGCCAAAAATACTAGAAATAATAAGGAAACCTTTGATTTTCCTATTTGTTTCTTAACTTTAGTACCATCATCTTTATATTGGAAATAAATTTTTTAGGGAAACCAGCTGAGGAAAGCTGAGCTCTAACTCCTCAAATACTACTATTTGCATTAGGTAATTTTTTTAAAGGAAAAAAAAAAAAGACATACTGAACAATGAACAAGACTACAATTCAAAATTTTTCCTAGGTGTAAAGTCAACATATAACATAGCATCCACTTAATTATTCCTAATATCAATTTACTAGTACAATAAAGTTAGGACAGCTAGATAATGATCTTGAAGTGTGTATGTTTTAACAATTTCCAATCCAACTGAACTTTAGATGAAACTGAGAAATATGGTTTTTACAAATTACCTATATATTCTGAAATGTTTCTTTCAAAATGTGACCAGATTTCAAGCACATGCAGGGATCATGCCCACAGTAAGTATGTTAGTATAGTATAGCCTACTGGAGGAAAAGGAAAGGCAGCCGAGATAGATACCTGCACTAAAGATAAGTAAATGATGAAATACCAGTGGGCATAAGATAGGTAATAGTAAGAAAGAGAGTTTACAATGCATACCAAAAGCTATCTTTAAAAGTACAAAATCCAGACTTACTTCAAAGCACAACAGAGGACAAATCAGAAACATGAGGAAGAAAATCTAACTTACGTTACCATCATAATTAGATAACATACGGCAGAAGTTCTACAGAGAGGAAAGCAGTGAGGCCAAAGAAATAGCCCTGAGCTGGCAGCTGGCTGCTGTTTCTAACCGTGCATCTTCTCTCTGCCCAGACAACTTCTCCACTTATCAATCATGGATCCATGAGCTTTCACTTCTCTAAGATTCATGATTCTGTATGAAAATAAACATACAGAAACATCTCCAAAGCTAAGCAAAAGCCCCTTATGCTAAATTTTAGTACAAATAGTTGGACTTCTATACCAATTTCTCTAAATACAAAATTTCATATAAAATATCCTTTTCAGGATCATTAGAAATAGGAATGGAGGGTGAGAAATGGGGTGGCGGGGGAGGATAAAATAGAAGGCAGAGTGCAAAAAACGTATTGGTAACACTATCTGGAAATGAGAGAGGAAGATACAGCAAAGTATACCTACCTCTAAGAAGGATTTTCTTATGTCCTTTTTGCCATGGTAGCAGGCAGGATAGAGAAGGGGGGTGGGGAGGGACTGAAGAATAAGAGATTCATATAGGAACTGCTGATAAAGCCATGTGAGACAATACTGATAGTTTCTATATGCTGTGACAGGAAGTTATCATGGGTGGCAATGTAACTTTAGAAAAGGAATCTGGAAAAACTCCCTGGATACACATAACAGTATTCCCTTAAGTTGGGAATATGAGGGACAAAAGTTACTGGAGACTCTGGAAACAGTTTGCTGGTAACAGTAATTTAAAACTTAGACAAAAAACAAACCAGGGATGAAGATTCACGTGTAGAAAAATGAAATTCTGCTTTGCATAAAAATTACCTGTAATAAAGTAAAACATTTTTTAACTGAGAAAGTTTTGAAAATGGAAAAGAAAACAGAACTTAGCATTACAAAACATATTATTATACTAATTTAAATGTGTGAAATATTTTATTTTGCTTCAAGGTTTTTAAAAATAAACAAAAACCATGCATGTCTACATACCCCAAAAGCCCTAAATTGCAACCGAAGTCATGCCAGGACTGTTTTTCCTATAGGTTTTAAGTCACTTAAACAAAAACTCTTCTGCTGTGAGAGACCTTTAAGAACATAAAACTTACAGTGGGAAGGAGAACACTGCACTGCTTCACAGCCTTGCCGTGAAATTACGTTTGCAAACATGTCAGGGCAAAGCTGTGTATCAGCAGTTTCCACTCCACTATTCCAACATGGTGCACTGCAATTCAGTTCTGATATTAACTACCCAAGACAGCCCAGACCCCACACCTTGAGGGCTAGTCCTCCACAAGACTGTACTCCTGACACGAGCTGCTAGTTCTAGGTATCACCGAGCTGGCTCACTACAAATTCAGGGATTCCTGTGACCCCCTCACATGCGATAATTCATTAGAGCAACTTACAGAACTCAGGGAAAGTATGACACTTAACAACTATAGTTTTATTATAAAGGATACACATCAGGAGAAGCCTGGGAGGGTCCCAGATGCAGTTTCCATGCTCTGCCCCTGAGGAATCAGGGCCTGACATCCTCCCAGCATATTGATGTGTTCACTAACCAGGAACAGCCCCTTAGCTTCAGTGTCCAGAAGCTTTTTGGAATTTCATTACTTAGGAATGACTGATTAAATCACTGGTCCCACTAAGGGTCAGGCAGCTGAAAGTCTCAATCCTCTCCAGGCATGGTGGTCCTTCTGGTGAACAGTCTCCAACCTAAAGCTATGTAGAGGCCTACCTCAATACCATAAAAAAGATACTCCTATCATTCAAAGTTCCAAGGCTTTTTAAAGCTTTGTAGCAGGAACTGGGGACAAGGACCAGATACATTTTTTATTATACCAAACACAGACAGACCTGAATTTAAAACCTACCTCTTCCACCTACTAGCTCCGAATCCTTAGATAAATTAATTGTTTTTCAGGTCTTCAGCTTAGTTCTCTGTAAAACAAAAATACTACTAGATACCTTGTGCAACTATAGTGAGAATTAAGTGGGATAAGCAAAAAGATACCAGGCACAGCCGAATGAGCAGAAGCTTTAAGTCAGTCCAGGATTCAAATCAGGTTCTACCACTAATTAGCTATGTAACCAGAGCTAATCTTTTATTCTCTAAGTCAAAGTTGCTTTCTTTGGAAAAACTGTAACGTATCTATATTAAAGGATTTTAAATGTTCTATTTTTTTAAAAAAGAGAATAGAATGTGTATCTCAACAATAATTACTTTGACTAATACAAAAATTATAAAAGAACTCCCACAGAAAAACAACTTTTTGTGTCCCCAGTGTGCATACTTTTATAAAAGCACTTATAATTTTTTAACTATCTCCATAAATGTCTGGCAAACTCCTCCATATTATATATCCCCAAATGAGTATATAGAAATATAAACAAAAGAAATCAAAAAGTAAACAAGAAATTCAAGCTCACTAAAAATTTTAAATACTTATCAAAACAACTATTGCTCCATTCTGTAAAATGTAAAGAAAGAAAATTATTCACACCGCCACTTCCAATCTTCAGGAATAGGGCTGATCCATGATGCTTCCTGGTCTTGCCCTCTTACTGCCAGAGATTTCCTTTGTTGAAGGTATGGAATGATTAAGATTTAACCTAAGTGGGACGAGCATACATTAGTGGGCCCTTTTAACTTTTCTTTTTTTTAACACTTTTTTTTAAAAAATTAATTAATTTATTTATTTTTGGCTCTGTTGGTTGGGTCTCTGTTTCTGTGCGAGAACTTTCTCTAGTTGTGGCAAGCGGGAGCCACTCTTCGTCGTGGTGCGTGGGCCTCTCACTATCGCGGCCTCTCTTGTTGCAGAGCACAGGCTCCAGATGCCCAGGCTCAGTAGCTGTGGCGCACAGGCTCAGCTGCTCCGTGGCATGTGGGATCTTCCCAGACCAGGGCTCGAACCCGTGTCCCCTGCATTAGCAGGCAGATTCTCAACCACTGTGCCACCAGGGAAGCCCCCCCCCTTTAACTTTTTTAAGATTCAGATTATTCTACATTAAAATAAGAATGCAGAAATCTCTCCCTAACTATACAAAATCACCCTTCTCATGAGCAAGATTTCAATATGAATAGTTAGACTTCTATAATATTTGGCTGATCAAAAGTAAGAGGGCCACTGCCTTCTGGCAAACATATAGCACATTCTTTGTCAAAGATGTGCAATTGGTTACTACCTGTTTATCTTTGCCTTGGATCTGAAGTCCCCTTCTCTGGAATCCACTCTCAATCTAATGAAATATTCCTCCTAAGTGCTTGCTTGGGTCAATTTTTCTACATCTTTCACTTGACATAAGCTCCCTAACAACAGTCTGTGTATCATTCATCTCTGACAACACTTATTAGCAAAGTCAAGATGCCAAATGAGATATGTGAAAAACACAAATGGATGACAGGAAAAAAACAAGAAAAAAAAAACAAGGAGAGGTTACAGAAAACATTTATAATGTGTTCAATATTTTAAGGCATAAGTTCATTCACAGTCCTGTCTCTATTCTCATTGGTTTTACCATTAAGGAAATAATTAAAAAGAAAAAAGATAAGCATATATTTCATATGTACACATATATGCATATATAGTATATATACATACATGCACATCTACATGCAGGCACTTATAATAACAGCAAAAAACTGGCTAATTCAATCCAACAAATATTTAATAATTTAGCAAATATTTATCAAGTATCTGTACTTGGGGTTGGGAACAAGGTACTGAATGAAAAAGGACAAATTTTCCCAGTTATGAAACTTACACTCTATATGGAAAAACAGATATTTTATAATAATTTCCTAATTATAATAAGAAAACAATGGCTAAATAAATATTGCTTTATTAATGTATAATACACACGTTTTTAAGAAGTCAAAAACTGAACTTCTTTGAGACACATGGTTTTATCTTCCCTTCAGAACTTCCAGCCATATAGGACAATGCCACAAACATATGCATTCACTGATCAAGCCCCCTCTGTGTTAGAAACTGTTTATCTAGCTGGAAAGTAAAGAAAGAAGGTATAATATAAAACTATCACTAAAAATGATAAACAAGTAAAACTGGAAAAAAAAACCATAAAATGATACCACAACTAGATTATAACTATGCAAAGACTATATTTATCCATGGATAATAATTAAAACAGCAATAGAAGAATGTGAATAGTTATGTTATCATCAAGAATTATAGAACTTAAGCTTTTTTTGGTTCTCTTTTAAATAAAAACAATGGGTTATTTCATCTCTCTAAATAAGCCCAAAAAATGACAAAGACTATATTTTGTGGGTTGTTTAAATAAATATCCATTTTCACAGGCCCCCTGTACTAGATCTACTGATCTGCTGCAGACAAATGAGAAAAGTGTGGAAATTACTAAGAAAAATATAGCTTAACTACATATAAAGTATGGTGGATAATTTTTCACCTTCAAATATTTGTTTTTCTTGGGCTATCATCATAGAAACATGGTAAATTAATTTTTTGTTTTTTTTAACATCTTTATTGGAGTATAACTGCTTCACAATGGTGTGTTAGTTTCTGCTTCATAACAAAGTGAATCAGTTATACATATACATATGTCCCCATATCTCTTTCCTCTTGCATCTCCCTCCCTCCCACCCTCCCTATCCCACCGCTCTAGGTGGTCACAAAGCACCGAGCTGATCTCCCTGTGCCATGTGGCTGCTTCCCACTAGCTATTTGTTTTTCGTTTGGTAGTGTATATTATGTCCATGCCACTCTATCACTTTGTCCCAGCTTACCGTTCCCCGTCCCCGTATCCTCAAGTCCATTCTCTACTACGTCTGCATCGTTATTCCTGTCTTGCCCCTAGTTTCTTCTGACCACTTTTTTCTTTTTTAGATTCCATATATATGTGTTAGCATACAGTATTTGTTTTTCTCTTTCTGACTTACTTCACTCTGTATGACAGACTCTAAGTCCATCCACCTCACTATAAATAACTCAGTTTCGTTCCTTTTTATGGCTGAGTAATATTCCATTGTATATATGTGCCACATCTTCTTTATCCATTCATCTGTCGATGGACACTTAGGTTGCTTCCATGTCCTGGCTATTGTAAATAGAGCTGCAATGAACATTTTGGTACATGACTCTTTTTTAATTATGGTTTTCTCAGGGTATATGCCCAGTAGTGGGATTGCTGGGTCGTATGATAGTTCTATTTTTAGCATTTTAAGGAACCTCCATACTGTTCTCCGCAGTGGCTGTATCAATTTACATTCCCACCAACAGTGCAAGAGTGTTCCCTTTTCTCCACACCCTCTCCAGCATTTGTTTGTAGATTTTTTGATGATGGCCATTCTGACCGGTGTGAGATGATATCTCACTGCAGTTTTGATTTGCATTTCTCTAATGATTAATGATGTTGACCATTCTTTCATGTGTTTGTTGGCAATCTGCATATCTTCTTTGAAGAAACGTCTATTTAGGTCTTCTGCCCATTTC